AATTCCTGGATATCCTTGTTAACTTTCTGTCTCGTTGATCTGTCTAATGTTGACAGTGGAGTGTTGAAGTCTCCCATTATTGTATGGGAGTCTAAGTCTCTTTGTAAGTCTCTAAGGGACTTGCTTTATGAATCTGGGTGCTCCTGTATTGGGTGCATATATATTTAGGATAGTTAGCTCTTCCTGTTGAATTGATCCCTTTACCATTATGTAATGGCCTTCTTTGTCTCTTTTGATCTTTGATGGTTTAAAGTCTGTTTTATCAGAGGCTAGTATTGCAACCCCTGCTTTTTCTTGTTCTCCATTTGCTTGGTAGATCTTCCTCCATCCCTTTATTTTGAGCCTATGTATGTCTCTGCGTGTGAGATGGGTCTCCTGAATACAGCAGACTGATGGGTCTTGACTCTTTATCCAGTTTGCCAGTCTGTGTCTTTTAATTGGAGCATTTAGTCCATTTACATGTAAGGTTAATATTGTTATGTGTGAACTTGATCCTGCCATTATGATATTAACTGGTTATTTTGCTTATTAGTTGATGCAGTTTCTTCCTAGCCTCGATGGTCTTTACATTTTGGCATGTTTTTGCTATGGCTGGTACCGGTTGTTCCTTTCCATGTTGAGTGCTTCCTTCAGGGTCTCTTGTAAGGCAGGCCTAGTGGTGACAAAATCTCTAAGCATTTGCTTATCTGTAAAGGATTTTATTTCTCCTTCACTTATGAAACTTAGTTTGGCTGGATATGAAATTCTGGGTTGAAAATTCTTTTCTTTAAGAATGTTGAATATTGGCCCCCACTCTCTTCTGGCTTGTAGAGTTTCTGCTGAGAGATCTGCTGTTAGTCTGATGGGCTTCCCTTTGTGGGTAACCCGACCTTTCTCTCTGGCTGCCCTTAAGATTTTTTCCTTCATTTCAACTTTGGTGAATCTGGCAATTATGTGTCTTAGAGTTGCTCTTCTCAAGGAGTATCTTTGTGGCATTCTCTGTATTTCCTGGATTTGAATGTTGGCCTGCCCTACTAGGTTGGGGAAGTTCTCCTGGATGATATCCTGAAGAGTGTTTTCCAACTTGGTTCCATTTTCCCCCTCACTTTCAGGCACCCCAATCAGACGTAGATTTGGTCTTTTTACATAATCCCATACTTCTTGCAGGCTTTGTTCATTTCTTTTTCTTCTTTTTTCTTTTGGTTTCTCTTCTTGCTTCATTTCATTCATTTGATCCTCAATCGCTGATACTCTTTCTTCCAGTTGATCGAGTCGGTTACTGAAGCTTGTGCATTTGTCACGTATTTCTCATGTCATGGTTTTCATTTCTTTCATTTCGTTTATGACCTTCTCTGCATTAATTACTCTAGCCATCAATTCTTCCACTTTTTTTTCAAGATTTTTAGTTTCTTTGCGCTGGGTACGTAATTCTTCCTTTAGCTCTGAGAAGTTTGATGGACTGAAGCCTTCTTCTCTCATCTCGTCAAAGTCATTCTCCGTCAAGCTTTGATCCGTTGCTGGCAATGAGCTGCCTTCCTTTGCCGGGGGAGATGTGCTCTTATTTTTTGAATTTCCAGCTTTTCTGCCCTGCTTTTTCCCCATCTTTGTGGTTTTATCTGCCCCTGGTCTTTGATGATGATGATGACGTACTGATCGGGTTTTGGTGTAGGTGTCCTTCCTGTTTGATAGTTTTCCTTCTAACAGTCAGGACCCTCAGCTGTAGGTCTGTTGGAGATTGCTTGAGGTCCACTCCAGACCCTGTTTGCCTGGGTGTCAGCAGCAGAGGATGCAGAAGATAGAATATTGCTGAACAGTGAGTGTACCTGTCTGATTCTTGCTTTGGAGGCTTCCTCTCAGGGGTGTACTCCACCCTGTGAGGTGTGGGGTGTCAGACTGCCCCTAGTAGGGGATGTCTCCCAGTTAGGCTACTCAGGGGTCAGGGACCCACTTGAGCAGGCAGTCTGTCCTTTCTCAGATCTCAACCTCCGTGTTGGGAGATCCACTGCTCTCTTCAAAGCTGTCAGACAGAGTCGTTTGCATCTGCAGAGGTTTCTGCTGCTTTTGTTGTTGTTTATCTGTGCCCTGTCCCCAGAGGTGGAGTCTACAGAGACAGGCAGGTTTCCTTGAGCTGCTGTGAGCTCCACCCAGTTCAAGCTTCCCAGAGGCTTTGTTTACCTAATTAAGCATCAGCAATGGCGGGCGCCCCTCCCCCAGCCTCGCTGCTGCCTTGAGGTTAGATCGCAGACTGCTGTGCTAGGAATGATGGAGGGTCCGTGGGCGTGGGACCCTCCCGGCCAGGTGTGGGATATAATCTCCTGGTATGCCTGTATGCTTAAAGCGCAGTATTGGGGTGGGAGTTACCCGATTTTCCAGGTGTTGTGTGTCTCAGTTCCCCTGGCTAGGAAAAGGGATTCCCTTTCCCCTTGTGCTTCCCAGGTGAGGCAATGCCTCGCCCTGCTTCAGCTCTGGCTGGTCGGGCTGCAGCAGCTGACCAGCACCGATTGTCTGGCACTCCCTAGTGAGATGAACCCAGTACCTCAGTTGAAAATGCAGAAATCTCCGGTCTTCTGTGTCGCTGGCGCTGGGAGTTGGAGACTGGAGCTGTTCCTATTTGGCCATCTTGCTCCGCCCCAATCTAGTTGCTGATTTTTTAAAAGATGAGTTTATGTGGCTTCCTAGAATCATGCAACTTTAATTTTGAAATGTCAATTGCAGTATTAGAAATATTTTGTCAGAATTCCTAAGGACATTCCTTGTGCTAAGGGCTACACAAATATTTATTGAGTACTTACTTTGGGCTGGGGTTTAAATGTCTTTGCTTTTGGTCTATCCATTCCTCCTGCTTTTTGTGTGCCTAGCCAGGTATGCCTCTCCTACCCCAACCAAGTGTATCTGAATGTAGTCTGTACACAGGACTGCTCATCCAGCCACTGTTCCTTCCCTGATGACTGGAGGGAAACTCTCATGATTCAACGGTAAACTTCCAGATGAAATTCTGAGGCTGCTCAGTCATGTCAGTCAATCTCTTGCTCATTCATCAGTTTTCCTCCTTCCCTGGCAACTATCCCTGTGATTAGCATGACAATTCAAGCTACAAACTCCTGTTCATTTCTTCCCTTTCCCTGACCCCATTCTAAATCTCATTTTACTGTCATCTGCATCTCTACTATCTGGTCAAGAGATAGCACCCAATATGTAGTAAGGGGTCATTAATTTTTGTGTATTATCTTCACTTGCTTCCATTGTTCTTCCTCTTCTCTTTACATCCTTGTCTTAACTGAAAGTTGGCTGTATATGTTTCTCAATATCATAAAATTGAAGATTAATATCATTCAAAAAATGTTGAGAAACTGTAATATGTTATCCACTATGCTACAGATACAACTCTAACAGCTCCTTCCCAGGCAGCTTATGTATGTTCTAATGAGTGAAATTCAGATAAAAAAGCAAATACAATAACTTAAAGTCATAATAAAAGTATGTAAGGAAACAAACAAGAAGCTAAGACAAACAAATTTTAGGGTGATCGCAGAAATACTTTTAGAAATAAAATTTCAACTGAGACATGAGGCATGAGAAAGAGTTTGTCCATTTAAAGAGGGAGGAAAGAGCATTCCAGAAAGAAATAACATATGTAAGAGTCAGGAGGTGAGAGGTAGTGTGGGTCTCTTCTAGAAACTGCATGACTACTGTTGTGACTGGAGCTTGGCGAGTGTGGAGAAAGTGGTTTTGAGATGTAAGTCAGAGAGAAGAGGAGAGACAGAATCGTGCATTTGGAATAGGAATCCATGGAAGAATTCAGGGAGAGACTTACATGATCCAATTTCTATTATAATAAGTTCATCCTGGTAGGCAAGTGAAGAATGAGACAGGTAAGAGAGGAAGCAAAGGATACAAGTGAGGAAAATGCTGTTGTTGCCTTGGAGGGAGATGACAGGCTGTAGTAAGGGAGTTGCAGTAGAGGTGAGCAGAGAACACAGACTTTAGATACATTCATATTATAAATTGAGGAGACTGGATGGCAGGAGTGAAGCAAATGAAAAACAGAATGTTCCCTATGTTTCCAACTTGAATTGAGTCGGAAATAGTACTAGTTACTGAGGAGAGGAAGATAGAGGAAGGGGAAGGGCAGCTTGGGGGACTTTTTTAGAAGTCTGTGAGACATCTGGGAGGCAAGGTATCAATGAGGCAATAAAAGGGAAATTCTAGAGTTCAAAGAAATGATCTAAGCTGGGGATATAAATACAGGACTCACCAGTATACAGATGGTTTATGTGTTGATGGGAAATGATGAAGTCATATAACATTTCAGCCTAGAAAGAATTTTCCATTGGCTTCACGACATGAAGATCTCTGATGACCTTGACAAAGGGGGTTTCAGTGGGACTGGGACAGGGGTTGGTGCCTGATGGCTTGGAGAGCGCATGGGAGCTGAAGTAGAGAAAGCATCAGGAGACAGTTTTTTTCTCCCCAAAATTTGACTATGAAGTGGAGAAATGTGTCACTGGATGGCAATGGATAGAGGAATGTGTGTGTGTGTGTGTTTATGTGTGGTTGTGTGTGCTACATATTCTTTTTAAAAATGAGTGATACATTTACCAATACAGATTAGGGAAAGTTAATGATGGGGGAAATGGAAGAAGCCAAGTTTTTGAGGGATTTGTGCAATTGCCCTTTAACAGAAGTGGGGATGCATCCCCCATTGCAATGGGAGAAAGAGGATGAGGACACGTGTTATTAAGTTAGTAGTTTCGGGGTTGGCAGATGTGAGTGTTCAGATGTGATGTCTTCTTTTTCCTTAGAGTATAAGCAAGGTCATGAGCTGTGAGTGACTGTCAAATTGGGCTATGACAAACTTGAAGAGAGTGAGTGAGATATAAAATATTGTATAGTGAAGGGCAATGTGAGTCTACTAAAGATACGTGGTTGGTTTTTGTTTGCCTGGTTTTTTGTTTGTTTTTGGCAGTACTGACTAGTTAACTACCTTTGTAGTTTTCTCCATTAACATTTGGCTTCTTGGGTATAGGCACGGAAAGGTGGAATGTAGGCTTTATTCAGAAGTAGGATGTGGCAGATGACTACAAAGTTATCAGAGGACATGGTGAGATGTTTGGAAGAATCCTAGAGGTAGAGGCTCCTGGAGTCTTGGTTTTCCCAGGCCTGAAGTTGGCAACAGAGTCCTAGCCTTGGCACCAGATATTTTCTAGGGTCAGGAGGAAGGACTTGCATTTTCCTAGCTTCTCTTATGTTTTCAGACCTTTGTTTTGCAGCTTTCCTGGCAGTTCTGAAACTGTTTAAATTAGAATTCCTTTACTCATACAGAACTTCATCTGTATGCCTCCCAACCTTGCCATCCATTCTCTGAGGATTGCAGCGCTTTTCCTGCAGTCTGCCACTTCTCTCCAGCCCATGTCATTACCCTGGTTGACTTCAGTGTCCTTTTTGATGACCTATTTAACAACTGAATCTCTCAGTTCCTTAAAATTATTTCATCTAAGAACTTTCTGGGTTTTTTTTTACATTAATGGATTAATTTAATTTAATACCTGGAGACTTGTCACATATAAAATGACTCAATCTTTGAAATCATGAATTTTGAAATCCTTTTTCTGCTTTCTTTTTCTTTTTGCAACCCATTCTTTAGCCTCATTGGACATCTGTTCTTGTGAGTCCTTGCTATTCCTTTAGATTCTTTCTTTCTTCCCATCTGGAGTTTTGAAAAATCACCCACCAACACACTCACCAGTGTTCTTAGTTCCGATAACCTGGTGATTTCCAGTGGCACCTTTCTCATCCTGCACTCAGGAAAAACCTGCCATTCATTGGCTGGCTTGTTATGCTTTCTTGCTCAGGGCTACAGAACGTGTTAGGGGAAAATCATGTAACAGTGGTAATTGCTTGAATTTCAGACATGGTTTCCACACTCAGCTGGCTCCATGATGCTGCCCTCCTCTCCATTCTCTCTGTCCCTCTGCTTGTTCCTCTCTTGTTATCTCTTGGCTAGACCATTACAACAGTCTCTTCACTATTCTCCTTTAGAGTCTCTATTTCTGATGTTATGTTATTTTCTTTTTCTGGGGATTCTTTTCCAAATTGCAGATTAGATCACTCATTTCCCTGCTTAAAAACTCCTGAGAGCCGACTAAGATTTAGACCATTAGGTAGAAGCTCTTTAGGGTTTCATTCAGGAATCGGGGGCCTTCATGATTTGCATCTAATCTACTTGTCTAGTCTGATCTCTCCTCATTTCTAACCACCCCCATTCCCCACTCCCATACACTACACCAGACCATTCTGTATTCACCCTCACACTGTTTCTCCTGCCTGGAGCAAAAGCTTCTTTCTTCTCATCTGTGGAACTCTTGTTTTAAACTCTCAATCAAATGCCGTCTCACCTGGGGAGTCATCTGCACTTCTCAGTGTGAGACAAAGTAGCATAGGTAAGAAGGCATATTTGCTCATTTATGCTTGCTGGCGTGATTTCACAAAGGCTCTAACTCTGTGACCACATGCAGTTCTCTGGAGTGATACTTTGTAGAGCAAACAGGATAGAGGACACAGTGCTCCACATCTCTTGCCTGAGTTACTATATTTCTTAAAAGATAAATGGCCCTAGTTCTTGCCTTTTCCTACACATAAGATAATGTCTGACAAGGTTAGTGATTATGCCTCTATAATCTATAACGATATACTCTTACACCCAAATGTATATATCTATAACCAGATATAATCTTATACCCTTGATGTGATTCCTCTTTACTATAACTTCTGAACAAGTTTGATGTGATTTTACACATACTACACCTTCATTATCTGTATAGCCCACTGCTAAAATACTGGGCTGGTGCAATCTGATAGAACCTCTGATAGAACCTCTCTAAAGGGCTGCTTCTGGGCTATAGGCCTCAGTCTATAGTCCTTTGCAGGGCTTTTAAATAAAATTAACTTTAAATCTTTAAAAGCTTGATTTTTTAGCCATGCATGGTGGCCCATACCTGTAATTGCAGCACTTTGGGAGACTGAGGTGAGGGAATCACTTGAGGCCAGGAGTTTGAGACCAGCCTGGACAATATTGCAAGACCCCACCTCTACCAAAAAAAAAAAAAAAAAAGAGGAAAAATAGTCTCATTTTTTCCCTTTAGTTGATACCAGGTAAAAGAGTCACTCCTTCCTTTGTGTGCCCATGCATTTCACTTGCCACTAGAATTGTGCTTATTGCATTTGTTAGGTTTGTTTATGTATGTACCTGTTTTGTCTGCTCTGCTGCTTAACTCTGAGCTTAAAAACTTCTTGTCATCTCTCTATTCCTCAGAGTTTATCAACATGGTTGGTATATGGTAGTTACTCAATACATAGTTTTAGACTGAGTGATGAATGTATGTATAATACTTTGGGGGCCAATACAGAAAGTAGTAGAACTTAAGGACATAGTTCTGATTTCAAAACACTAACATAGCAGAGACTCGATATCTACCCCTAAAACACATAAGACTGTAAGACAGACTAGGATGCAGTGAAAGTAATGGTACAGATAGTGGGTCCGGGAGGAACTCAGAGGGAGGGAAATTGTCTCTGCCTACTTGGGCTGCCATAACAAAACACCATAGACTGAGGTAGCTTAAACAACAGACATTTATTTCCCACAGGTCTGGAGTCTGGAAGTCTGGGATAAGGGTGCCAGCGTTGTTGATTTCTGGTAGTGGCTCTCTTCCAGGTTTAAAGACTTCTGCCTTCTATCTGTGTCTTTAGTGGCAGAGAGGGGGTAAGCTCTTTGGTTTCTCTTCTTAGAAGGGCATAATTCCATCAGGAGGGCGCCACCCTGGTGACCTCATCTAAATCTAATTGTCTCTCAAGGGCCTCATCTCCATATTCCATGACATTGGGGGTTAGAGTTTTAACAAATACATTTGGGGGAGTGGGACCAGAAGACACAATTCAGTCCATAACAGAAGGTGAGTTTTGGGCACTGCTGATTTAGATTTGGAAACAAAGACTTGTTCATTCGGTGCCCTTCATTCCTGGACAGATCCCTTGAAAGACATCTCCCATGCTATCTCATTTCCTGGGATTATGTGAAACAAGATGATAGCTTCTGTGGACATTCCCAGAGGAGTAATTTCACAAAGGGGAGCTTGTATCTCACTTCGCAAAGAAATGCTCATTCTCTTGTTATTTTTAGGTTGGAATTTGAGCTGTGACATCCAAATATGTAGAAAGAATAAACATACAACCTGTATCTTAATGCATCTTGGATTTTGGATTTTCTTCTTTTTGCAATTTAGCAGTTTCCCTCTCTCTGCTTGGGGAGAGAGAAAGTAGGGCTGCTGCCAATAGCTGAGCAAAATGTAGGGAAATGTCACCCATACACACAGCTGTCTCTATTGCTTACTCTCAAATACAGAACTGGGGCTGACCTTACAAGAGAAAGGAGTTTGTATTCTGTGGCTCGAAGGTTACTGAGTAAACTCCTCCTTCTTTTTCTTGTCCATCTGTATCCGCTGTTCACTTAATTTTTTTCAAACACTTCCTTGGGCCATTCCCATGTTAAATCTTTCCTTTCTGATGATAACAATGCTTATTCTTTCACTTTTTTTTCTGTTTATAAAAGTAACAATGATAATTTATAGAAAATTTGGAAAATGTAGAAAAGCATGAAGAGGCCAGGCGTGGTGACTCATGCCTGTAATCCCAGCACTTTGGGAGGCCGAGGCAGGAGGATCATGAGGTCAGGAGATTGAGACCATCCTGGCCAACATGGGGAAACCCCATCTCTACTAAAAATACAAATACTAGCTGGGAGTGGTGGCACGTGCCTGTAGTCCCAGCTACTCGTAAGTCTGAGGCAGGAGAATCACTTGAACCTGGGAGGCAGAAGTTGCAGTGAGCCAAGGTCGCGCCACTGCACTCCAGCCTGTCAACAGAGCGAGACTCTGTCTCAACAATAACAACAACAACAACAACAAGCATAAAGAAAAATAAGAACTCACCATTTCATCATCCAGAAATAATGGGTGTTACCATTGGATGTATTCCTTGTGGCCTTACATATCTGTGTGTATATATGTATGATTTTCTTCTGAAAATAAAAGGGTGTGGGCTCAAACTATATATACTTCTGTGTATTCTGCTTTTAGTCTCCTTTAATGCTTTCCCCAATGCCTTTGGAGAAAGGACTACTGTGGTCCAGCACTCAAAACCCTCATAACCATCTCCAGCTGCTTTACTGTCCTTATCCAAACTCTTTCACAGATGGATGGGTTGACTTATTGACCCTCCCTGCCCCTGCTCTATTACTGCTCATCTAAAATTTCCTTCCTGTTCTCTTCATGTCCCAGAGTCCTGCCATATTTCTAAGCCTAGCCAAACACCACCTTCTGTGTGAAGTTTCCTTGGAAACAAATCTGTAAGTGATTTTCTTTTCTTCCAAATTCTTCCAGACTGCTCCCTCTGCCTGATGCTTTCACCCAGATGGCTCAGTCTTTACATTTTTCAGGTGTTTGCTTTTCCAAAAGAACTTCCTGAGACTTCGCAACTGTATTTTTATCCAAACAACTCTATCCCTCTGTCCTGCTCATTTTCCTTCAAAGCAGTTATCTTTATCTGATAGTTTGACTTTTAATTTTTTGATTGATTGATGGTCTTTCTCTTGCCACAAAACTGTAAGCTCCTTGAAAACAGAGTTTTTTCTTCTTTGATGCTGTATCCCTAGACACTGGAATAGTGCCACATAGTAGGTGCTCCACAAGTGTTTAAGAGAAAGAAGACTGGGGTGAGACGGTATCTCATTGTGGCTTTGATTTGCATTTCTCTAATGATCAGTGGTGCTGGGCTTTTTCTGATATGTTTGTTCGTCATATGTATGTCTTCTTTTGAGAAGTGTCTGTTCATGTCCTTTGCCTACTTTTTAATGGGGTTGTTTCTTTTCTTCTTGTAAATTTAAGTTCTTTGTAGATGCTAGATGACCTTTGTCAGATGGATATATTTCAAAATTTTTCTCCCATTGTGTAGATTTTCTGTTCATTCTGATGATAGTTTCTTTTGCTATGCAGAAGTTCTTTAGTTTAATTAGATCCCATTTGTCAAATTTTGCTATTGCTTTTGGCATCTTCATCGTGAAATCTTTGCCCATGCCTATGTCCTGAATGGTGTTGTCTAGATTTTCTTCTAGGGTTTTTATAGTTTTGGGTTTGACATTTAAGTCTTTATCCCATCTTGAGATGATTTTTGTATATAGTGTAAGGAAGGGATCTGCTTTCATTTTTCTGCATATGGCTAGCCAGTTCTCCCAGTGCCATTTATTAAATAGCGAATCTTTTCCTCATTACTTGTTTCTGTCAGGTTTATTGAAGATCAGATAATTGTAGGTGTGTGGTCTTGTTTCTGGGTTCTTTATTCTGCTCCATTGGTCTATGTGTCTATTCTTGTACCAGTACCAAACTGTTTTGGTTACTGTAGCCTTGTAGTATAGTTTGAAGTCAGATAACGTGATGCCTCCAGCTTTGGTTTTTTTTTTTTTTTTTTTTTTTTTTTTTTTTTTTTTTTTTTTTTTTTTTTTTTGCTGCATATTGTCTTGGCTATTTGGGCTCTTTTTTGGTTCCATATGAATTTTAAAATAGCTTTTTCTAATTACGTGAAGAATGTCAGTGGTAGTTTAATGAAAATAGCATTGAATGTATAAATTGCTTTGGGGAGTACAACCATTTTCATTGTGTTGATTCTTCTTATCCATGAGCATGCTGGCGAGGTTGTGGAGAAAAAGGAATGCTTTTACACTGTTGGTGGGAGTGTAAATTAGCTCAACTGTTGTGGAAGACAATGTGGTCCTTGAAGACCTAGAGGCAGAAATACAATTTGATCCAGAAATCCCATTACTGGGTGTATACCAAAAGGAATATACATCATTCTATTATAAAGACACATGTACACATACAGCACTATTCACAGTAGTAGGTTGGAACCAACCTAAATGTCCATCAATGATAGACTGGATAAAGAAAATGTGGTACATATATATACATCATGGAATACCGTGCAGCCATAAAAATGAATGAGATCATGTCCTTTGCAGGGATGGAGCTGGAAGCCATTATCCTCAGCAAACTAACACAGGAAGAGAAAACCAAATACTGCATGTTCTGACTTATAAGCGGAGCTGAATGATGAGAACATATGGGCACTTGGCGGGGGGGAACCACATACTGGGGCATGTCAGAGGGTAGGGGTTTGGAAAAGGAAGAACATCAAGAAGGATAGCCCATGGGTGATGGGCTTAATACCTAGGTGATGGGATGATCTGTGCAGCAAACCACCATGACACATGTAAAACTATAATAAACCTGTAAATCCTGCACATGTATCCTTGAACTTAAAATATAAGC